GACATAATGTGTGATAAAATAACCGTTATTGATCGCCAACACAGAGAAATGTAGTCGTCATTATGCCGTATTATAGCGACTAAACCAGAATTTTTGGTTGCCAAGGATGAAATGCTTGTTGCATTGGCGACCGTATCGACCACAATTTCGAGCCCTGGGATGGCTTTTAAAATATGCCTGTGTTAAGTCTGCAGTCCTGTAAAAGGAAAGGGCCAAATTGGCCCTTCTTTCGTTTTTCTGGGGGCCATCTCTGATTGTAACGTGGGATTCCCGCAATGGCGCGCTCTGGCGAAAACACTGGAATGATTAATAATATACATGAAAAAATTACTCGATTCTTATTGGCTGAAAACAGTGCAGTTCAAGTGTAACATCAGTGCAAAAAGTGTAACATTAGTGAAAATTACACATCGTAATTCTGGATTATGATTGGCTGAAAGACAATAGGAAATTTTCTAAGCCAATGACATCACGTAGAATGATGACGAAACTTTTGTGCGGAAACTTTGAAAAAAAGTTTTCTGGAATGAGAAAAAATGGCTTCAAGAAAGATCTTTCGGCACTTCCTCCACATGAATTTTTTCATGTTTATATTATTAATAAGTAATTATACGGTTTTTCTCGTTTAATTTGGAATTACTTTGCACTTGTGAGTTTTTCAAAAAGCTGAAATTGCACTCGCTGAAGCGGCTCGTGCAGTTTCAGCTTTTTGAAAAACTCACTCGTGCAAATTAATTCCAAATTGAACTCAAAACAATAATTATTATTGAACTCGGTTATCGCAAAATATCGTTATTTGTTAGTGTCTCGTATATGAATTATTTTCCTCAGCCTTCAGCTTCGTTAGATAATTGATCTGCTCCCCACTGACAACTCACGATATTTTGCTCAACCTCGTCCAATGATTATTTTGTTAATTAAATTATTTGTTTTGTAGGTATAACACCTGGAGTGCCTGGCATAAACAATGGACTTAACAAAACAACATTTGACAGCCTTGTCAAAAGCGGGCGATGGGCTTACAACCAAACACAGAAGGTCACAGATGCAGTGATCTTTGAGTACACAGACTGGACAAATGAAACAAATCTAAAAGTCATCCGTCAAAAGTACATGGATGTCATTTCTGATGCTCTCTTCAAGGCTCCTGCAGTGCGCTCTGCTAAGGTTTTTGTCAAACATGATATGGAGACTTATTTGTACTCCTTTGACCATTTCGTCTCTCCTCATATTCCAGCCTGGGCTGGAGTTATTCACAGCGGCGATGTTAAATATGTGTTTGGTGAACCTTTCCTGAAGTATAATGAGAGTGCTGGTGAAGCTGAGCAAGATGGGGAAATAAAGTTCTCAAAGCAAATCATTTCCAAGTGGAGCAGCTTTGCCAAGAATGGGTAAGTTCACACTGTTGTCTTTTAATACTGTGGAGTACGTGGTGTATAGATGTATCTTTTAAGCCTTACCGATATTCATACTTGTACTGAGTCATTTATCTTAATCCGATTCACAATTTCTGGAGACATGATAAACTTCGAGATTATATTTGAAATAATTTTCGTTTAATTTGAAATTTGTCCCTATTTACAACATAAATCTTCGTCAAAAACGCGATCTCGTGTTCTCGTCTTCGCTTCGCAAAAGGACTGCTCAAGTCTAATTTACAATTTATTATATTCATGTGGTATCACGTGCTATATCAAGCTGTGTCTTATCTGTACAAACAAATAAGTTCTTACGCAATAAAAGAGTTCGTGAATGTTCTTTACAATGATTACAGATTTCATCTCTATAAGACATCGTTGATATACATAAACCTTATCTGATGGTTTAACATTATAATGTGCACAGATATTTTGCGAGTTGTGCAGTACAAGCGGTCACTAAAATATGTGGGCACATTACAGTATATATTAAACCATTGAATAAGGGATCTATTATTCCACTGTTGCGACATTTTCTAATATTTCAGCTTCCACATTTTGAAATACACCCTGCATCATTCAAAGATCGTACCAATCAGATTGCCTAGTGCCTAGGTAGGGTTGTCCACATTATGCTCCCAATTTTCACTATTATGCTAATTCTATACAGAAGCAAACAATTGTCAAATACTTGTGAAATGTTCGTGGCTGGTGTGACGCGGCGTTTCGTCTCGGCCAAGAGACTCTTCAGAGACCTTTAGCATTCAAAGGCAAACTCGTTGAGCATCACGCCCAAAGTCCCGTTCGCAAATTCTTGATGTTGACAGTCTGG